AATCGTAGAATGGCTTGAGTTGGAAGGGACCTCAAGGATCATCAAGGTCCAATTAGCAGGGTTGCCAGTTGCTAAATCAAGTCCTAGACCAGGCTGCCCAGAGCCCAGTTCAACCTGGCCTTAAACGCCTCCAGGGACAGAGATCCACAGCCTCTCTGGGCAGCCTGTTCCAGCACCTCATCACTCTCTCAGGAGTTTTGGTAGAGTTCTGGAAAACAGTGAGAAAATGGGAAAGAGAAAAATACATTTTAGCTGAAACTTCATTAAAAACAGGAATAAAAATACTGGGTTTTGTTCTAGGCCATTTTTCTATGTCCATATTTCTATTAACAATTATACATAATTAAGAACGTTTTGCCTTTCACAGAACAATTAACGCACAGGGAAACGTGCCCAATTGTGTATTTTGAAGCTAACTCTTAAAGTGAGTTTATTGTGATTATTTTTATATAACTCGGAACAGTGAAGGAAAATTCACAGGACTTGATTTCAACTTAGATGAGCCTATAGACAGAATATCAGACTGTAAGCATTTGCTTCCCTGCAGTGAGTCACTTGACTCTATTACTTTTGAAAATATGATGGAGGGGCTTTTTGCAAAGCATGTCAAGGCAGAGGAGAATTTCCCCCCTTCCCTCCCAAAGCCTCAAATTCTCCAACAATAATTTCTAAGTTTGGAGCTCCTTATCTGTTATTAGCTATGCTACAGATAAATACAGCGCTGGGACTACAGGATGCTGCATTTCCATATGCATCAACACATCTGAGGGAGTGAAAGCAGCAGCTCCTTTCACCAGCAGCGAGAGGACACTGGCCAGGCCCTGCTGCTCCTGTGCTTAAGTGCCTCAGTGCTGTAATTTTGGCAAAACCTAAACATGGAAATTACCTACATACCTGATTTTCAAAATCCTTCACACTCACCTAATTATCTACACCGAGCCATGGGCTGGCACAGGCTGTAGTCAGGAGTTTGGGGCCTGTAAAGCAGCACCCGGCCTCAGGGGGCAGATTAAGAGAAGAGGTTGGGGACACAAGCGGGAGCAGCCAAGGACGAGAAGAGCTGGTGCTGGCAAGAAGCTCAGAGGAGGCAGCACTGGCACTCGTGCAGCAGCTTCTCAGAGGAAGGGCAGGAATGCTTCAAGAAGTTAACTCAATGACTTTCTTTTAAATTTAGAGCATATTCTCAGGGAAAAGCTAACTCCTACGTCTTTACAGTTTTAGACTGTGATCCCATCTGTTCTAAAGTTGAGTACTGAGCTGGGAAAATACCAGGAGACCTCAGCATGAGGCTGGGGATGAAGCTGGTGGTGGGGCTGCCATCTCCTCTCTGCCACCATGTCCTCCAGAGGTGATTCTGAGGAGTCCTGGCCAGTTGTGCATTTGATGAACTTTACTGAGAATCAAATAACTGCATTTCCATCCTATTTGGTAGTGTATGAAATTCAACTGAAAATTTAAATTCTGTGAGTTAGCAACAATACGGGCATTTCTACCTTTAGGCTGATGCCATTATTCTGGCATGCTGAAGGAATGACATTCACATGGAAAATTGCTATATTTTCATACTATTTTCATACGTACACCTGTACTACACTAACTAAAAACTAGTCTGATAACTTGCTGAGACTTCTAGGGGTGTAACCAGGGGAGTGTGAGCACTTGTATTCAGTCTGTGTGTCTGTGGAGGAACTGGGCCCACGTTATTATTTTGCTACCCAAATACACAGAACAGGTGCTCCTTGTTCTTGAGGAGCTTACACACAATTTTCACAACCTATTTTTACTTTATAAAACACTTTTGTTCTCCTGCGTACAACAATTTAAATGTCTCATGCTGAGGCTGAGACAGCGTAAACACAGTTTGAGGAATGGAAAATAACATCAGCAATGCTGCGCCCGTCCGAAGAATTCAGATCATCCTGAGGTAGTGCCATGACGTACCTTGACTTCCTTCTTCCCTTTTGCACAGGAAATGTGTTCTTGTAGTTGACTCTTTTTCTATAAATAAGTGGGACATAGTCAGGAAAACACTCACCAGCTTCAGACTCCACTTTGTGACCTATGTGGGGACAATATCAAAATATTTTGATGCGTATTTCGGCTAGGCTGCTGCAAGATATGGTGGAGGCTTGACAGAATCAACTGCATACCAGACCTGACCTGGATAAACCCTCTTCTATTCTTGGATGATACTGGAGCCAGAAATACCACAGCGAAGCAGGATGTTGGTTGTGCAAATTTGTGTGGCCATGGGCAGATTCCTCCCCAGCTCACAGGCAGCTGCAGCCAGGATGCTACAGGGCCCTAGGAAAATACAGAAGGCCTTGGCAAAGCTGGTGACACATGGGACTCTCTCTGTGCTTTGCAAACCACTTAGCTTCTCCATTTTTATACTTTCGGACACAAATCAGAAGTCTTTCTCCCCCAAAACTATCTCCTTCTTTTCTTAAATATCTCTCATAGAAGATATCTGTAGCTGCCTGCTGGTGGTATTTCAGCTGTTCTTGGGGTGTGTTTTCCCTAAGGATGACAAACTCATCCATATTTGTGGCACATTCCAATTCTGCATTCACCAGATCATCCTTCACTTTTACTCCCAGCACCTGCTGAGCTCATAAACTGATTTCTGCCCTACATAGACTAGGAGAAAATGGGAGAGATGGAAGTAAAAGATGTAGGGAATAGGGTAAAGCCTGAGATGGAAAGACTCTGAAGCCTTAGAAAGTAAGAGAGACTGTGAGCAACCACACCGGGATCTAGTCAGATGAACTAACATAGATGCATAATTTGTTTGATTAAAGGCGAAGAGAGATTCAGATTTACTTTACATAGCTGACTCTGTCTCATACATAGCTTAGGCAAAACAGTATTTGGAAGCTTAAATTGGCTGTTTGTAGTTAAATGCTTGAAAGCAGTTAATAGCATCCTGTTATTATGTGCAATGCCTTCAGGAGGAAGATAAGCAATTTTGGTTTATTACGGTTTTCTTTCCTATATGGCACAAATGGGCCCAGGATCAAACTGTCTCTCAGCAGAAACCTTCCTTGTCCACACTCATTCAGCAGGTCATATTTAACCATTTTCAGTATCCTTCCTGTATGCTCACTAGTGGACTCATTCCAATTAATGTTCTACAGTTAAAGCTTGCAAGGACACCTCATTTTTTAACCTCTCTTACTCTGCTGCTCTGCTACTGCTGAACACAACTCTGTCTCTGGCCTGCCTTTGGTGCCATGAAAGCTGTCTGCTTTTTGTCTCTGTCTGTGACTGTTTAGGCTGAGCTATGTCTTCCAAAATTCAAATTTTGAGCACTCTCACCTCATTCCAAATTTCCTAAGAAAAAGCAGAAACACTACTCCAGTAATCCTCATGAGAACCCAAACAAATAAATCAATTAAACACTTGTATGACTCAGAAAGACAAAGAGATATTGATTCCCAAATCAAAGAATGACACAATTGTACTTGCCTCTCCTTTTCATTCCGGTACCTCCCGTTTTCATCCCAGGTTGCATGTTTTCCCATTCTATCCAGATTGGGAAACAAACATATTTTCAAAGGAACAAAACCTGAAGGATGCGGGTAGGCACCTAACCAAACAAGTGAAATCCCATAATTTCTTGGATACTTACGAACTTTCAAAAATCCAGCCCTGAACAACACAGAACCAGGGCTTATCTTTCCTGGAAAAAAACAAACAAACAACTGTCTGTGAGTGACATTAAAGTGACAAGGATTTGGTTATGACGCACCAGGATAAAGGAGAGAATACCATGTGACAAAAGATATACCTAATGAAACTAGAGAAAAACAACCTGATGAAAAAAGGTAAATACTCGTAACAATTTAAGAAAATGAAATAGCTAAGAAAAAACATTTCAGGATATCACTGATTTCTTCCATTGCTCCCATAACATCTTTGATGTTTGTGGATGTTTTTCTACGCAATTTCAATAGCTATAAATGTGTAGAACTGACCTTCCAGCAAGTGTTGTCCCTTGTCAAGCCTTATGACTTAACAGCTCTGGCAAATGCGGGGAGCTTTACTAATGGTAGGACCAGAGGGTTTTGCAACAAGTGATTTAATCTAATGAAATGCTGTGTCATGATTAGAAATGAAATTTTCTTGTCATTATCAGAGGTCCAATCATGCAGGTCTAAAAGAGTACTGGATCACAATAATAAAGTGACTCTTGTCTCTTTCTGCAGTGGAAAAAGAAGGGAAAACTGTCAGGACACTCCCGAAGCAAACTAAAGGTCAGTCTTTGAATGGTATCCAAACCTTTTTCTCCCTTAGTATTACAAATAAATTGCTGTACTGCAGGCTCCAGCTGTTTGCCAGTAGTTCACTCCTCTGTGCAGAAGCAGAAGGAACGAAGCATGACAGCAAAGTACTGCACTAATTGAGTCGAAGTTTTTGCCAATTTGGAATTTGTGTTGTGTTCCAAAAAAACCCGTGGTAACAGCGAAAAGTGCACGTGTGGATACGTGTGCTCATGTGAGAACACAAAGGAACCAACCAGTGGTTTCTGGGCAGAAAGAAGGATGGTGTCAGCTCATAATTCTTGGCAGAGGAATGTGCAAATTTCTCTCTCCAGTCTAAGGAGGAAAATAAATTAAAATACCCTTCATAGAATGCTTAGACATTGCATTCATCTCAGCTCCTATAGGTAGACAATCAGAATTTCTGGAAAACATTTGAAAAGGTAAAAGAAGGGAAAGACATTCCTAAATTGATGGCTTCACAAAAGGGAAAGCAGGCTTCTATCGCTTGTTGTGATACTCTGTGCTTTTGAGATTCTCATCTAATTTTTAACTGAAACTGAAAATTAAAGTGTTCCAGGGAGCTAGAGTCAATTGCAGGCTTCTTGTCTATCAAGTCTGATTACAACAGAGGCTTTCAGTGCTCTTTTATCTGGATACAGTGGGAATGCAAACATGGAGAGAAGCTGATTAGGTCTTCTTCAGTCTAAATAAATACTAAAATTTTAAATTCCAGTATTTTTATTCCAATGAACGTTATTCTCACTACAGAGCAGTAGAGATGACTTCTGTCAGAAGTACATATCCAAGTTAAGCATTTTATTGCATGCAAAGAGTGATGATTTGACTCCTTCCCAGGCCAGAAGCTGTTCTGAATACGGCATACACAATTTGTTTGTTTGTTTTAGCAAACACCTGAATGTCACATAGAAATGTAATTACAAAAACAAAACGCTTCTAAGATTAACACAGTATGTTCAGGAAATGCATCACCAATAGTAAGCAATCCAAAAATCCCAGGCACATTTACTACTTTGTTCAACTACAAATACAAGCATGCAGCAGCATGCTTGGAAAAGAAATAATTATGTACATAGCAGTCAGGTTATTTAAAATTCCTTTACTTTCAGATATTTTGGAACTGGACCAGATACAAGCATGACTGAATTGAATGAAATCTGAAACCTGAAGACTGCTAAACATTTACGGCAGCTTTAAACCAAATAACTGCCCCTGTTCATTTGTATTCAGTAGGTAGGGAAAGGATGCTGGTGTTAAGAGTGCATGAGAAGAAAAACTGAGACGAAAATGGATGCCTGCCAAATACATGAACACAATGTCCAGAAAAATAACTGATGGTAAAGAACATCCTCTCTTCTTCAGCAACAGATGTTACTGAACTGATTTAAAAAAATACATTGCTTTGTGGGTCATAGGGTGCAACTGCAACTGAAAAAATGCTTAGTGGCCTTTCAGTTCAGGAGCACTGTGACACATGCAATCAACTCTGTTATTAAGCCATGAAACAGACATGGGAAAAAGTAAGGGTTGTTTTTTGTTCGTTTGTTTGTTTTAAATTATCTGAACAGAATGGAAAAACTAAACTCAACATTATTGAGACATATTTGCATAATGACCCACTGCCTGGACGGGCTTCGATCTATAAGGGTACAAGATTCAAATACGATGTTAGAAGTATAAAACACCTCTTATTCACATTTACAATTCACTCTTATTCACTTATTATACAATTGCACATTTAAATTCACTACTGAAATTCATATAGTGCTTTATCACTGTGTTTAAAATACGATGGCAGGAGGAAATAAGTTTAACTTGAATAAACATTCCAATTTCTTATATTTTCTATAATTAAGTTCTTTTTTGTTGGGTACATAGATTTTAACAACCTGAATCTTCCAAAGAAACAACTTTGACAAAGTCTGAATGAAGTGCATCTACATATTTTCACACTAATTTCATGCTAATTCACCTGTTACATTCTTTTGTTGTTGCTGTTGGCTGATCGTAGCCACAAGGGGAATTGGGCTGCACTTTTTTAAGATGAGAAGATAAAAGGACAAAGTCTCAGGGATCTCCCACATTAGGCTTAAGCATGTCAGCCTGCACCACATGTCAGTGCTACTGAATCCGTGGAAAACAGAAACATTAAGTAAAACTTTCATACTCTCATAGAAGGAAAAAAGATGAAACTTCTTTCAACACCTTTCACCAGAGGTGTGGGCCTCTCTAAAGCAGAACGTTATTCTGTAAAGGAAAGCTTTTCAGCATAAATCTTTAAAAATATAGGCTAAAAGAGTAAAGAAAAAAGGACTTCAACATTAATCTAGCAATCGCAGTAATTCTTTGATCTCACTTCATGTCATTAACATCATGGATTTTATCCAAATAGAAGTAGATTATGAGTGACAGGATACATTTATAAGGTACATTTAGATTAACAATTAAATGCACGTTTTGGAAGAGCTTTTTGGGATATGCAAAATATGCTAAAGCAGGAAAATAAACAACTGTGCATTGTAACAAGAGTTCTTACAGTATCTGTGTTAACTTAAAAGAAACCCACGCTGATAAGAACATACCTCTTGCAGTTCAGAGTAAAGCTGTTGGTACAGAGCTGCTTACATTTGCTTCCCTCAGGAAGTTATTGAGCACTGCTGTATACAGCACAGAACTAAATGTTTCAACTAAATACGGCATGTAAACTAACAGACTTCTTCCAACACGATGTACAAGGGAAAGAAGGAATCTCCAGAGTCTACAGCATTTACAGGTTAACTTATTGCCCCTGTTCTCCTGCACATTTTTTCCTTTCTGACACTAGCTTTCAGCACTGTCAGATCTGTATTCCTTAAAGAAGACATACAGTCACAGCAAGTCTCAACTCAGTTATTTGTTATTGTTTAACATTAAACTTTTGTGCTTGATGAGGTTTAATTAAGAAAATACACACAGAACACTATGCTGATTTTTTCACTTGCTTGTGTACTACAGAAGTCAAAGGATACTATACAGAAGTGGAAGCCTGCCTGGTGTTTTCTCTTGGTTAAAATTCAGCACATTTAACTGATAAGATCTATGCTACATCACCTACTAGAAGCAAGACAACTTCCAAGCTCAGATCAACAGTGTCTTGCAAAGGTCCATTTTGTACCAGCACTCTAATTCAGTGCATTCTGAGAGTTACAATTTCCATTTGGAAGAGGCAGTAAGGACTATCTGAAGTCATACAGCATACAACTTCAGCTGAAACTTCTGAACTGTGGAACTAAATAAAAATAATGTTTTCAGTTTGGTAGCAGCATATCCAGCCAAAATCACACGGACGCTGAAGTTCCTAAAATTCTCTATAATAAACTTAATGCACATAATGACATTTCTGAACAATTTTTGCAGCACATTATGAACACATAATGTGAAGTACATTAATTGTAATGGATGGAATGATGGACTGCACAAACAAGATGCATTCACAGTGAGCTGAGACAAATCATTAGTAAAAAGAAATTATACCATAATTTTAGTACTTAAAACATGTAGTAACTTTCAATGTCTACTTCAGATTTTAGATAGGAACACTCACTTCTGTATATATTCATCAGTACCTCAAGAGTAAATCCCTTATTACACTGAATTAATAGAAACAGAAGTCAGTTGAACTTCCTTCTGGGAGATGCTTGAAGGAGTGCAGTCAAATTTCTGCTTCTCTGAGCTTACAAATGTTCTGATGAGGGTGTAACTGCTTCAGACTCTGTATTTTGCTTTTCCACGATCATTGATAACACATATGTGCTGAAAAAAAATTAAACACTGATTACAACAGCATAGTTAATTACATTATTAATCATTAATGTATTGTTCAGAAATAATTCTGCCTGGCCAACCCAGTAATCTTGCTATTATCCTTCCTCTCCAGAGACCTGATATTGAATTCTGATTTCACTTTCTACTTACTGCAATTTCTGGCACTCACAATTGCCAGCATCCAGCTCCACCCCTGGAAGTAACATAGGAAGCAATGACAGGCTAGTGAAGCTTGCATCGTTATCTAACTGAGAAAAGGAACATAGCAGTAAAATGCCCAAGTTGTCTAAAGTCGCTGTATTTCAGTTGTTACTGCTGTCACTGCATTTACTGGGAGTGAAGGAACTGTGAAGTTCTAGGTGCACAGAAGATAGAAGCATGGCAGAAGTGAAAACTTCTGCTTTTAGTGGCTAAGAGGCGGGAAGGAACCATCCACAGTGCTGAGCAGCGACTGCTCTGGATTATCTGAGCTTTTGCAAGGAGTTCTACACTCACTGGGAGGATCCAGCCATGGCATTAGACCCCAGGAATAAGGTAAATTACAGTCTCTAAAACCCCGTAAAACAGTGTTTTCTTTTTTAAAAAAAGAAACTTACGTTCAGATCTCTGAAGTACTCGTTGTAGTCTAAGGCATAACCTACCACAAATAAATCTGGAATTTCAAATCCATAATCTGTATTGAGATAAATAACAAACAGCATCAGTACTAGATAGGTGGCTCCTATATAGCCCTTAAATACATCTGTTGGTTTCCTGACCAGAAAGCTACGGATAGGCAAAGTCAGTTCAGGTTATGTTACTTTTGACTAAGACACCAAGGTCAGCAAGCAGCCCATCATGCTCACAGACTGTTTGTGACGGGCTTGTGAACAGTCAGCAGAGAGCAGGAGAGCCGTTTACAATTACCAGTGGTACAACAGACACATTGTTTAAGGAAACCAAAATCAGAGCCAAAAAATTCTGCTCTCCAGAAGGGGCAGCTCCATTGGTATATGTATGCGATGACAACTGTCCAGAAGCACATAAGTGACAAAAAAAAAGTATAACTTTAATTCAGAAGTTGCTCACAGAACTACTCAGAGGGTTGTGTATTTTCTTCTGAGGGTAGGCAAAACTATTATGCATATCATCCTACCAAAACGTGTCACATGCTTCTTAAAGCCCAATCTTACAAAGACTCATGCCCATGCCTAACCAAGTAACTGCATGCAGTGTGGCTGAATCATACAACTCACACACTTCAAACCAATCTTAGACATGCACCTGTATGAGTGTGAAGTTCTGTGCAGTATCAGCACTATAGAAAATGAGTTAGACTCTCTCTGAGTTGCCTGTTATGTAACCAGAGAAGAACAGAACCTTATGAAGACACCTTGGAATCACAGATCCAATATGTGAGGAAATGACATAGCACTGTTAGTGATTTAAAGGGTGACCTGATGCTTTATAAAATTAATCGCATTAAAAGTAAACAAGAAAATGGAAAAACCTGTTGTAGCCACATACCTGATACTACATCGTTTTTTCTACGAAATCTAAAATGACAGTAGCTTGGTACAGCTTCATTTAGGGCTCTGATTAAGCATAGTACAGGTACCAAAATTGCAAAGAAAAGTGGTGCTGCTATGAGAAAGCTTAAAAAGCCCATTTTATCTTTTACTTTTTTTTTGGGGGGGGGGGGGCGGGGGAGGGGTGAATATTATGTTACTGTATCATTGTTTACCCTTTAAACAATAATACTTCTCAAAAATATATTTTTAAATGTTACTGTGCTATAACTATACACAACTTATAAGTAATGAGGTCACTAAGAAAAAGCTTTTGTGTTCCAGTGAATTCAAGCAGCTCCTCTAAAGAAAAGTTAATAAAGAAGGAAAAGGAAGAAATGGACTTTCTCTTCCACATAGCTTGTCAGGGACAGGAGAGAAAGCAATCACCTTTCATGGGTAACACTTAACCCCTTCATAACTTCCTTATGAAATCTGTACTCTGCAGAAAACATCAAATAAGGCTGGGATTAAACCACAGTTACACAAATCTTTCAGTTGCATCCCATACTCCCCCTGCCAACTGATATCTTACAACACTTCTAGAAGTCCACCTAATGACAGAATAACAGTAACTTCTTGAACTGGGATATAAAGAATTTCACAACACTTACAGTCTGGTCTGTACCCATCAGGCCAAGATGTTCTTTTCACCAACAAACTGTAAAAAACAAAAAAGTCTAGATATTCACCAGAATAAAAAACTGTTTTCTCTGTCAAAAAATAAAAAATAAAAAAAAATAAATAAAAATCAACCCACAGCTTCTGAGCCACATGAATCACTGTTTGTTACCTTTCTGCTACTTCTTTGACAATAATCTAATGATAGGGAAGAGATGGGTGTGTTTCCCTTCAAAGTCTATCAATGCCAGTCTTGAAACGGCTGGAGAGGAATGAATGGGGCTGAATGTCACTGCAGAACAATATAATGGCATTTCCTCTCCTGTCCTCCACCCTCCCCTTGGTGACTCAGGCAGCTTCTCTGCAGAGCTCCTCATGTGATAAGGCAGCACAGCTTTAAAGCAGGATCTTGGAACAGGAATCCCACTGAGAAATATGTTGGGCTGGACTAATTAATTACTAAGTTTTGTGATCATTTTACTCACCTTGCCACTTTAATCATTTTTGGATTATATTTTTCTATATGATTAAGCAGAACCTTCATAGTCCTTCCAGTCCCAACAATATCCTTGTAAAACATGAAAAATACAGTAAGTTAAAACAAAGGAAAGCTGAAAAGAGGAAATCTGGACAATGACTGAGCAGTTCCACATTCTTATTTTGTAGAAATTATACTATTATACACTCTAGAAGCAATCACTTTCTACTCACAAAATAAAGAATGAAAGGTCTCCCCATTTCCTTCTAGTACTTGGGATCTTACAAGGGACTAGGGATGACTTTATTGGGAGTGCAAGTATACAGGGATCAGAACTTTCCAATTATGATCAAAAATAGCAAATGTCAATACCTCTCCATCTCAGGGCTAGATCTGCTCTATTTGTTGTTTTTTTAGCCCAGTACAAATGAGTATTTTCCAGATCTGCTGTGCTCAACCTAATCTGAAGGAGATCAGTACAAACCTGGCTACACAACTGAACACACATGGGGAGCAGCTGTTGATGCTGAACTCACTGAGTGTGTATTTTTCATTAGCAAAACCTTATATTTGCTCCCCAACTATCTACAAACATAAATAGAATTTGCTGCAGACATTTTTCAAGCTTACAGCAGTTAGCACTGACAAGGAGGGGGCTTGTAGCAGTTACTCAGGTAACTATCCATCTCTGTGGCTCATGACTTTTTTCCCCTTTGCTATGGAAAGACATTCCAGCATCTATTTGTTTTCTTCATTACACCATCCAGCCTACTTCTCACACAAACAGACTGGGTCTGAAATGTCAGTCAGATCTTGGATGCTCTTGAAGCATCCCAGTCAATTTTCTGACATTTTAACACAGAATCACCTACATTATTAATTAAGAAAGATTTTGCAGCACCACTGAAGTGACACGTTATCTTCCTCTAGAACTGAATGCTGTTGATCTACATCAGCAACATATCTATGATGGATCTTCCCAGGGAACACTGCAGGTTGCAGTGCTAATGAACAGGAGCCATGGAGACTTGAGAGAATGACTGACATTCCCATGCAGCGTGTGAACAACCCTGAAGTTGTAAAGCATATGTAGGGCTGTGTTGCCATTTCAAAGTCATGCAATAGGGAAATTCAGGGCACAATTGCAATTGATTCGTAGTCTTCCAAGGTACAGAACAACCTGCAGAACAGGAGATCATGAAGCTCTGAAAACAACAAATCAAGTGACATAGAAACACAAACTCCTGGCTATCACAAAGCAGAGTCCAAATTAGAGTGGTGGCAATGTAGTTTGATCTCTTTGCAGTTGCAAAAAGACTGAGAGGTTATTAAGTAAAGCAACTCCCTCTTCACCAGTTCCCAGACAAACATTCTTAATACAGCCACGTTTTAGAGGTTAAGTGCACAACAAAGACTTCACTAGGTGACTTTCTCCAAGTACAGTATGACAGAAACAGCCAACTTACCTCAACAATTAAAACATTCTGGAAAAAGAAAAGAAAAAAAAGTTACACAGTATTCACAAACCAAGTGAAAGAAATGTTTGAAAAAGTGATAGGCCCATGAGCACATGTACAGCTGGGTAGGACACCGCTTCCTGTTTCATTTCTGGTCATAGCCAGGGACTATGAGTTTATTCAGCTTTGTCTGGATTATCCCCCTTGTACGAGAATGGATGTAGCTCTGGAGAACACCAGAAGTGGAAGAAATACAAATGGGATGAACTGCACTTCCTTGCAGTGTGTCCAGCAGTGTACTACAGTGTAACCAATAGTTTACTAAAATGTACCTAATGTTAATATTAGACTGCAGCAACCATATTCTTACTCTAAAATTCTTCTCTCCCCACACCTCCAGAAATCTCACAGTGAAGGATTACAACGTGAGTTCTATGTCTCACTCTCAGGCTGCAAAGTACCCTCTCCAACTACTGCTGCCCAAATCAGTAGCGTTATTTGAAGAGAAATGGTCCAAGACATGTCAAGCCTTATCACAGTGTGATCACAAAGGCTCAGCTTTTTGCTGACATGGCTCATAACTGTCCCAGGAATCACAGTATTTAAGGCGACTTCTCCTATTAAAAGTAATAATAATAAGAAATAAGAACCTACTTACTAGAGGACATTATCGTATACATGTTGAAAGGGATAGTGTACTCTCTTAAAGTTTTGCATAAGATCAGCTTTCTGAGATGGAACTTAGAGTAACAGAAGCCAAGTTTTTGTACAATATCTATCTACCCATGTATTCATCTTGCATGTATATGATCACTGCACATCCTGCAAAACCTTGAGACAAATAGTTTCATATCCATGCAGTTGTTCACCAGACAAGCATACATTCCCTCTCTTGCAAGTTTGTTGGCTTTGCTACATAGGTAACATGGAGACTGTCTAACTTTCCTTTCAATCACACAGTCCCAAATCTGAGAGCTCTGAGAAAGACTCAAACACCATGGAGATGAAGCTTGTGCAAGGTCTGTATTTATAAATAGAGTGGCTTTGACATCTCATTAATAGGTATATATATATATTTTTAATCTGCATAATAGAACTGATCAATATAGATCACACACACATACACACACACACATATATGTCCAGGTTGCAGTCCCTCCTAATAATTACAGTGCTTGGCAGGGAATTGTGGCATGCTTCATGCACACAACCACTGCAGAAATGTGTTTCCACACACTGTATAATCCCTAGATGCTTCTGAAATGGCAAAACATTTGGTAAAGGTGTGGAGGGAACTCCCAGCAGTAGTTGAGTCAGTGTCAGCGATGGAGGTATCACTCAAGAAAGCCACTAATTTAGACTGAGCTCTGATGGAATGCATGTTAATCTCAGAGAGTGGCTCCTTTTTGGTGTTTCCAAAACAGGTTTCACTGGTCGTTATCCTGCTTGGCACTCCTGACTTTCAACCTCCCAGCTGCTGACAAAAACAGCTCTGGGTCTGAAAGACCTAAACCTGTGGAGGTAAAAATTCAAAGGCCTCTCAATTAACAGAAGACTAAAGATGTCCTACCTCTAAAAACTTTTGCCATCCATCTGGTCCAAATCCCCTGCAACAGGGACACCTACACTAGATCAGGTGCTCAGAGCCCCATCCAGCCTGACCTTGTGTGTTTCCAGGAACGGGGCATCCACCACCTCTCTGGGCAACCTGTGCCAGTTTTCACTACCGTTACTGTAAAAATCATTTCTCTTATATCTTGTAAAGAGGCTCACCTGTTAATGTCAGTCTGACACTCTGAATTACTCTGCCAGTTTACTATGTTTCTTGGTCTATTGACAAGAACTTTACACCCAAAGGAAAAGCAGAGATCTTCTAGTGACAAGACCTATCCAGCAGGTACGGCAAGAGATGTGAAACACCAAATCTAGCACGGCAGAGACTGCATTAGTGGTCTGTCCAAGGTTCTGTAGAGGCTGATTCCTCTCCAGTTGAAGAGTAGGGCAGGGTAGGGGCTTCGTCAATCAAGGCCCAACCCTACAGTTTCCCAGCAAGATAAACAGGACAGCCCTGAGGCAGACTCAACAAACAGTCTAGGTTATCAGGTCAGTTCATGGTAAGGAGGCAGGTCTGAGGCTAAGCTCAGATGTTAGTCCACAAATTGGGATCAAGTCCAGTGAGAGTAACCAGGGCTAAACACAACCTGCTGATTGCCAGATCATTCACAGTGACGAGACAGATCCAAGGGTAATCTGGGAAGTCAGTCTGTGAGTCAGGGTCCCGAGTGACAGAGTTTGTTGGTAAGGCACAGGAATGGCTGGAGCTGAATATCCGTACTCACACAGAACAGATTGGTCATGGATTGAAAACGCAGGGTTGAGCATAACTGGGATCACCATGTTCACAGGTGTGGATAGTGGTCCTGGTTGAGACTGTTCAGGATCACTAAGGTCTAATAAGAACACTCAGGACTAAAAGATTGAGAGAAAATCATAGTCCTGGGATGTTTCATCTATAGGCAAAGATGTGTTTCTTTTTTTCCTACAGTAGCTAGCTTCAGTTATCCTATCATGAACAGCAACATAGATACTCTTGCTTACTTGCAAGCAGAAATCATAAATGAAGGGAAAGCAGCCTCTCTGGCCATGGAACTGAGATTAAACCAATAGGGAGGAACTAACCTTGCTAGTTAACTAATGAGAAGAAATAATCATAGGTATTAATAGAAAGCAGGGCTGAGGAGATCTTGAAAGATCATTTAGATCTCTTTTGGTCCAGAGAATCAACTTAAGCTATTCCTCACAGATAATCTGATTTTCCTCTTCTTCAACATGATGATTTCAGATTTGGGATAACCAGGTAATATGTCTCAGTGCCTCAATTTCTAAGAGAAAAAAAACTGTAGAACTTCTGTTGCTATTTGGCCTGAACTTGTTTTGCTGTGGACACAGAAAAAAAAAATAATAAATTATTTCTTCCACATTTGAAGTAGATAAATTTCCTGTTTCCTCTTCTTCAGATTAAACAGTTCCTATTTATTTGTTTTCTCACAAGTTGCATTTTCTATATTCCTGAACATTCTTTTGTTCTCCTCTAGAACCCATTCAGCTGGTCAGAATTCTTCTCCAGCTGTGGTGCCCCAAGCCAGAGAGAAGCCTTTCCCAGTCTCAAGAAGAATAAAAGAGCCACTCTCCATACCTTTTAAATTATCCTACCTTCTATAAATTCCATATAGTGGTTACCACTTCTGTAAAGCTATGCTGCTGTCTCATGTTCCACTTGTGATCCACCTATTGTCTCCAGCACAGAACTGTTGCTTAGTCAGTCCTTTCCCACTTGCAGTTATGCAAAAGATTCTGTATAAACATGGAAGTTAGTATTCATCTTGTCTGTTGTTGCACGTCATTCTTTGCGTCAAATTCTTAAAATAATTTCTTAAGATCATAATCCTATATTGTAGTATTTTTCCAGGTAGTATCATTAGCATTAAATGCTAATTTCATCTTTAAGTAATGAATTAAATATTGTGGTTACTGAAGAACACGTTTTAATGCACCCAGTCTGACAGTGAAGTACAATGGTTTCTTGAGAACATCTTTCCAACCAGTTATACATCCACCTAATAGAAATTTAATTTAGTCCACATTTTGCTATCACAGATGACTCATGAGAAGGAAGGAAAATGCATGCGGAATCAGACATGCCTGAAAGGTTTGTCTGGCCACTACACTAATAGCCACCTGCACAAGACTTCAACAGGGGGGTAAGATCTCGTATTGATTAATTACCTTGAGAAGCAATGATACTGGTGGACTCTCAATTTCTCCAACCAGTGTTCTGTTATTCCTACCACTTCCTCTTCAGATTCAGTGAGCCCAAGAGTTGTAAATTACATACACCGAGAGATTTGTTTCTTTGAAAGTCCCTTTAATCAGGCAGCTGTCTAGCTAAGGAAACACAGATATTCTGGTTTGTATTGTGCATACTCTCATTATTGCCAAAACATGATTATTTTCTATGCTTTGGAGACACCCTTTATGTAAGAACTTTGTAGTGGATAAGCCACTATAAAATATTTAGATATGAAAACACATACTAGTAAGCAGGCATCCTGATAGTCAAGAATGATAACACTAATCCCTGTTTTGATTAGTCAGGCTTACTGTGACTAAAGTCATCATATTTAACTTTTGCTTGTGAATGAGAGCATTCAAAGTAGTTTGCCATCCTCCAGCACCAGAAATCATCTCCATGAAAATAACATGATGTGCTGGGACACAGACTGTATTGCTACCTATCCTCTACCTTTCTACTACTGAAGTGGGCAACTGCTTGGAGGGCTCCAGGAAAGGGATGTCACTGCAAAGTAGCAAAGAAACAAACTTCCAAGGAGTGTTTTGACACACAGTATCTGAAAGCAGGTAGTGGTGATATACAACTACAGTTGGTTGAAATGGATTTGCTTTTTTCTTGAGCAGATGGATGGGAGAAGATAAAAGAAGAATGAAGTGGATAGAACACATTAGTACACTAACAGTAATGTCATCAGCATCCTAAATGGAAAACTGGCTGCATCCAGCATCCCTTGGGAAAGGTAACAGATATGAGCAAGTCTTTATTCAGCTTCACCATGAAATCCACCCACAAGCTGGGGAGTAAGAGACTGGCAGAATTCATCAGCTTGTGATGTTACTGCAGCAACTGACAGCTGGACACATGATGTGACAATACAGGATGCCAAAGAAAAGGTCTTTATCCAAGCATATGTAAATGTTTGTGGCTCCTATACCACAGAGATCAAGACTGTTTTGTCCCTTCAGATACAGCTGTGGTGGCTGCAGAGGAGGAAACCACATGAAAAGTAATCTGGCCTTCTGGCATGCATTTGATATTTTTTATCTATTTTTGGAGCTTGAAGAACAGGAAATAGGAATATTTACTGACACAGTGACTAGATTGAAAACGGCTTAATTTCTGAGCCATTCTCACCAATCCAAGCTGTGGAAGTATGTCCATAAATCTAATAGTG